CTACACACACACACACACACACACACACACACACACACACACACACACACACACACACACACACACACACACACACACACACACACACACACACACACACACACACACACACACACACACACACACACACACACGCGCGCGCGCGCGCGCGCGCGCGCACGCACGCACGCACGCACGCACGCACACACACATACACACACACTTATAACATCAGATATGCACGCGTCTAACGAAAGCCTCATCTTTCCCTATTACAACGCACCTCTCCACGTCTGCCACCGCCACCGCCTGCGGGGAAACCGTAGTCAATGCGTGCCTGCAGCGGGCTCTGACCAGGGAGGTGGTTGCCATATCCTTCCCCCTCGTAACCGTACTGCACTGGTGGCGGACCGGCCGGCGCCGACTCTGGATCGTAACCCATCCCAGGTTCGCGTGGTTCGTAAGCGGGCGACGAGAAACCAGGGGGAGGCCCGTACGCGGGCGGTGGTCCGTAGTTTGTCGGCTGACCGTAACCCACGGGCGCAGCACCCGGGTATGCAGGTCCGCCTACCTGGTAGCCTCCTCCTAGTCCAGTGCGAGTGACCTGCGGGTGACCTCTCGGTGGTGTGCCGCCTCCTCCTCCGCCCGGCGGCCGATTTATTCCCGCGTATCCGTGCGATATTGGCATGGCGAATCCCAGAGGAGCCAATAGCAGCTGCAGTAAACACACGCGTGGGATATAATCAGGAGATATATAGCGGGATATATTCAGGAGCCTATAATATCATAGATATTATACAAACACATGTGCGTGTATAATTATGTCTATGATAATATCAGGAGTAGATGATAGGGAATCCCCCTATATAGGGAATGTTCCCTATTATCTATACTCCTGATAATATAGATCCCTGTTATAATGCACCCGAATCGCACCCGTGTAGCTCTTATATCAGTTGTGAGTATTAGCTTATGGATTTCGAGCATCACATAACTGTAGTTATGCATGACGGTAGCTGATGGATTTAGTTGGATAATTCTAGTTAGTAACGCGACGTCATGACAGGGATTAAAGCGCTAGCGTATAATACCATGAGAGGGTAATCAAGCTACGGCAGAATTATGCGCTTGATCACATAACACGTGCACGCCTGCTTATTACTGTGTTGCTGATTATGCTCTAGCTACCTATCCAATGTACTATTCCTAACCTATACTTGATCATCACAGAGCGAGCTTATTGCGCTCTATGAAATTATAACCTTAACAAGTTATTAATAATAAAATAAAATAATATAATAAGAAGAAGAAGAAGAAGAAGAAGTTCAAGAAGAATGATAATGATAATATTATTAAAAACTATGCATTTTCCATACGGACGAAATACTCGTAGTAAAATAAGTATTTAAAACATGTATTTTTCGCAAATATAACTAATAAAAACATACCATTTGGGCGATAATAATAAATCCTATCATTTTGTTTGAGTCACTTGATCCCTGCAAAAAATAAAACGATGATATAAATGTGAGAGGCAAGGTAATGCGTTTCATACAACTGTGCTCTAGTATATGTTGTAGTATGTAGAATAGTAGTATGTAGTATATGTGCTCTAGTATATGTGGACCACGCTTGGATACAGTGCCTGGTGTTATGAAAATGACACAAATTCGTTAAAGGCACGGCACAAATTTGCCCACAGCAAATGATATGCCGGGATTGTGGATGATATGCCGGGATTGTGGGATTATAATGATTTACACGCAACACATGGGTGATACCATATTACAATGTAAATACGCGCACACGCGCGCACACGTACAATTAGTTACACCTAGCTTCTATAGTTACACCTAGTTACATTAGTTACACCTAGCTTCCATAGTTACACCTAGTTACATTAGTTACACCTAGCTTCCATAGCGCCACACGAAAGCATATATGAGCAACCGCAGAGAGCGCGCGAAAGAGAGAGAGAAAGAGAGAGAGAGAGAGAGAGAGAGAGAGAGAGAGAGAGAGAGAGACTCTCTTCTGTCATAACCAGTTTTGAGTGTTTTAACAGATAACAAAGTTCGACGAACCCGATCAAAATCTAAGCAAGTTAAACTATAGACAACCTATTCATTTCAAACGTCAGATAACCTCCACGGCATCGAATATCATATAACAATTATCGCAACCACATAGCGCAACCACCAACCTCGCCCAACACCCCCCCATTCGCTCCCATTCGCTCATGAACTCTTATTCGCTCAACACCGACTCGTACGGATAAAACACGCTTACCAAACTCACGCAGCTCTGCTTGCTCTCTTCAGATTTCATCTATATATTCTTTCCAACTTCTCAACACTTCACTCACAAAACCTCTACGCGATTTTGCAAAACCAATTTTGTAGCACGCGCGCTATGATACCTAGATCGACATGCACGAGGATATATATGTCACCCTCTCTCTCTCTCTCTCTCTCTCTCTCTCTCTCTCTCTCTCTCTCTCTCTCTCTCTCTCTCT